TGGAAGAGTTCATGCTTTGGCCTCTTCCCAGACTGACTTTCTAGATTTGATGAACACCGCTTCCCCAGGGTTTGTTTTATCCTGGCTAAGAGTGTACTGGGAAAGGATCAATGCTCTCAATGTATGGCTTTCCTTCTCACCCCACTTTTCCCAGGTTTCACTATTTTGGGGGTTTCTCATTTTCCATATATAATACACCAGACACTTCATCACTAGCAGAATCACCTCCATCACAAGAACATGGAGTCATCCCTGGGCATTTAAAAGAAAAAAAAAATAGTTACTTTAATATAACTTAACATGTACACCAGTTTTATCCACTCCAAGAATATGTAAGACTGGAGGCTACAGAAGAGAGATTCCTAGGAAGGAGTGCCTGATAACTATCAAGAGTAACTGCCAGTCAGAAGTTTAAGGCCTACAGATGTGCCTAACGTCCTACATAGGTAGGTTTATTCAATGTTTGCTAGTATAATTATCTTGCCCTAAGTAAGAGAAATAAAGGGATCTTTATTAAAAAAATAGAGATCATAATAAAAATTTATCTACAAAAATCAGATGACATTAGCACATTAAATGTTTTTTTTTAGTTGTGATTATTTTTATTTTAAATTAACACATGTAATTATACATGTTTCTGTGATATAGTGTGATGCTTTGATACTTGCATAATGCTAAAATCAGAATATTTTGCTCATCCACCATTTCCAACAGTTATCATTACTTTGTGGTATAATTACTGTTCTTGTCCTCAGTTTTACTTTGAAGGACAGCAGTTCTCAAAAGCACATTAAATGTTATGTTTACAATTCTAATAACTCTGGCAATTTTAAAGATGTACATTCCCAAATAAAGGCCTTATCCTCTCCAGCCTTATTATAGAAACAATTTCTCAATTCTTACACCTCCTGGTGAGAGATTATTGACTTCTATCATTTTCATGATATTCACTGACATGTTCCAGATGCTTTAACATTTACTTTGCATTAATCTTATTTCAATACTCAGGTCTTTTTTTGTTTCTCTCTCATAGAAACACCTACCCTCAGATGACTTTAAAATGTTCTTCCCAAACCAGAGTTTTGCCACAGACCCTCAACCAACCTGATTTCCCAAAAGGAACTCCAAATAGATTGCCCCATGCCATTTCACCCACTCAGGTAGAACCAGCAAGAGTGGTCATCACCATTTTCCTTACAGCATTAAGGAGGCCCTAAAGCTAGAGGGGGGCAAGATGCAAGAATTGAAGACAGGCAGTGAGTAGATAGGTAAAAGGGTCAGATCTTGAAGATGGAGACTGCCACTGAAAGACTGAAATGTTAATGCCTCCAAGAGTCCTTAGATGATCCAGATTATATGCCTATATTGATACTCCCAGAAGGCTGTTGCACACCTAGAACAGAGAGGAGATGTTAATGAATGCCCGCAGAGCTGCTTTCAGCCTGGACCCGCCATTTGGCCCTTCCTGCTTCCCATCTGCTTCTCACCTTTTGGCCATCCCACCAGGCATCTCCTGGGACCAGTCACATACAAAAGAAGGAGAGAGATAAGGGGGAAGAGGGCAGAAGAACAAAGAAAATCTAAAATGTGTAAAAGGGGCAAGACACACCCACTTCCTGGGGTAAAAGAACACCAGCTATGGGCCACTTCAGTGCACTTCTCTAATGTTCAAACATAAACTTTTGAGGAAGCAGAACTCATCACTGATAACAAGTGGTATCAGTAATTTAAAAAAATCTTTCAATAAAGAAAGCCCATGATGGGGTTGTGGCTCAGAGGCAGAGCACTCCCATGCATGAGGCACTGGGTTTGATCCTCAGCACCACATAAAAATAAAATAAAGATATTTAAAAAAAAGAAAGAAAGAAAGAAAGCCAGTGACTGCATGGATTCTCAGCCAAATTCTACCAGACCTTTAAAGAACTAATATCAATGCTCCTCAAATTATTCCATAAAACAGAAAGAGATGGAATACTTCCAAATTCTTTCTATGAAGTTAGTATAATACTCATACCAAAAAAAGATAAAAGATACATCAAGCAAATTATAGACCAATATACCTAAGGAACTTAGATAAAAATCCATTGAATAAATACAAAGAAATTGCATTCAACATATTAAGAAAATTGTGCAAAATGACAAATTGGTTTTATAGCAAGGATGTTTTAACCCATGCAAATCAATAAAAGTAATTCATCACAAAAATAAAATTAAGGCAAAAAAATCACTTAGTTATCTCAACATACGCAGAGGTAGCCTTGGACAACATCCAGCCCCCATACATGACAAAACACTGAAAAACATGGGGACATCATAAGGCCATGTAGAATGAACCCCACCAACGTCACAGTGAATGGAGGGACACTGGAACAGAGTCCACACTCAAGTTCTTATCAACGTGGTCCCAGAAATGCCGCCAGAGTAGTGAAGCAAGAGGAGGAAACCATCAAGAGCAGGAGTGGAAGGAGCCAACCATCACTGCTTGTAAGTGATGTGACCTTTCTATTTAATTTTCTTAGTTATCAATGGACCTTTATTTTATTTAGTTTTGTGTGGTGCCAAGTGCCTCACACATGCAAGGCAAGCACTCTGCCACTGTGTAACAGCTCCAGCCCATGATATGATTGACCATCTGCTTGACACAAAACCTTTAACCCACATTTTGAAGATGAAGAAATGGCACTCAAATTATTTTTTTATATTTATTTTTTAGTTGTAGTTGGACACAATGCCTTTATTTTATTTATTTTTATGTGGTGCTGAGGATCGAACCCAGGGCCTTGTACATGCTAGGCAAGTGCTCTACCACTGAGCCACAACCCCAGCCTCGGCACTCAAATTATTGATTAGCTAGGTCTTCCCCAGTCTTGATGTGAGGGGTTTACATTCACGGCATAGGGCTATACATACTCAATTTACACTGGAGATAGCACAAGAGAAATGTTTCCCCAAGGGAACCACGTCTGCTCAAACACAAATTAACTCATAAGTGGTGCTTCCCAGCCTGGTCTCACCTTGACTGCAGCCTCCTAAGATCCTAAGCCAGGAACCCACCTGAGCCATCTCTAGACAAGAATATCAGAAACTGTAACACGAAGAACAGTGGCTATTTCTTTTGCAATAGAAACCGAATGCTGCTGGGCATGGTGGTGCACGCCTCAGCAACTCAGTGAGACCCTGTCTCTAAATAAAATATAAAAAGAGCTGGCGATGTGGCTCTGTGGTTAAGTGTGACTGGGTTTAATCCCTGCTACCAAAAAACTGAATACTCTGCATAAATGTCTCCAAAAAAGAGGGGCTCCTGGGTTGGCTACTGGTGACCCTTCACACCACCACACTGCCTCAACAGCTCTCCAGTCTCTACTCCAAGGATTGGAATGTGCAAGCAGGGGGCACACCTAGTAACCAATGTCCTGCTGCTGTCTCTTCCACATCTCCCTTCCGCCTTGAGAGGGCTTTTCCAGACAAGCCACAGACCCCTACCAATCATGCTCAAAGAGTACTAAAAGAAAGAATGATCTTGGCTAATACAAAGTTTAACCCAGTAACTCTGAGTATCTCATGTGTAGAAGTGGGTAAGCTAAGAAAACACTTTGCCAGAAAGTTGAAGATGGTTCTCACGAAGCCGAACAAGTCTGTCATTGCCACCTGCCGCTTTTAACAGTTACTCTGTAGATCAGTCATCGCCATCACTCTCACAGCCAGGTGACTCAGTACTCATGAAGTGCCAGGCAGTGCTCAAAGCTCTGCAACATCCAGCAGGTGCCTCACTTCAACCCTGGAGGCAAGTCCTGTTAGCACTCCCCATCCAGGTATGAAGCAAGGGCAATCAACAGAGGGAAGAGTCACTATCCCCACCAACGGAAATGCACACAGGGCACATCAATGCAAACGAAGACCCCTCGATCACACAGCTCCTTAGCACACACTCATGTCTGCTGTCAACAGAGGGAAACTTTCCTTCCAGACTGCTTTACACGGAGTAGGAAAGTCAGGGCCGTTGCTCACATCTGTTTAATCAGACTTAAGACGTTAACAACATGCCTGACTCACACATTTCTGTGTATTTGCTTGTATTAAAAATCTACTGGTTTGGGCTGGGGTTGTGGCTCAGTGGTAGAGTGCTCACCTAGCATGCATGAGGCATTGGGTTTGATCCTCAGAACCACATAAAAAAAAAATTGTGTCCACCTAAAATTAAAAAAAAAACAAAAAACCCTATTGGCTGACTCTGAAAGATGCGAACTTCGGAAAGAAGTTATATTTGCCAATCAAAAATCAGATTAGTAATATTATTTACACAAATTTTATACAATAGAAAAGTAGGGGGGAAGTATGTACAATGATACTTTACACTTCATGTATTCAGGAATAAAGAAGCTAGAGCAGTATTTAGTTGGAGTATCTCAATATGTCACATTATGGCAGGTGTACACATACATCTCCACCATGGGTTTCCAGTCAGAGAACGTGGTAATGCTGAATGCTCATGCACAAACCCTCCACCTGGAGGAGCTGCTTTGTGCAGAGGCTGGTCCTATGAACTCCAGTTATGACAACCCCAAGTTCCTGCAGATAGAGTCAAATACCTGCTGGCAGGCCACATCACCACTCACATCACTACTGGCCAATGGTCCAGTACTTCAACAAGCATTGTGATACTATATGCAACCTATTTGAAAATTTATATCCTTATCACATAAATCAGTTGCTTTCCCTTTACAAAAAATTCTGGTATATGAAAAAACTGAAAGTTATGTTCAAAGCTTTGACACACTAAAGATACTATAAAAATTTACTTCATTCTCCGTGTTCTGCCTGAAAAGGTGTTCCCAATTTGTGGCATTATTCCTCTGATTTTTCTGGTAAACTGAACAAAGAATAAAAGATGATGACAGGTTTCTGTGTGAATTTCATAACAAGGGCTGAAAACTTCTCTCAAAAGCTTGTACAGGGAATGTGCCTCAGTGGGTTGTAATGCAAACAGATCACACGAAAAATGGCTCAACAGAGGAGGATTTATTTCTCACTCCTACGAGGTATAAATGGAGGCTTAGAAAGAGAAGCCATCTGATCTCTTCAGGCAACTCCTTTTCGGTCACAATCACCTTCTCTAACAAGATTTCTCAGGGCCACCCTGGGTATCATGGGACTCAAGAACTCAGGCAGCGTCACAGGGAATGTCTGTCATCTGACAGCATCACAGGGAATGTTTGTCATCTAACCTGGAAGCAACATTGGTCCCATGTGTCTACACTGCATGGACCCAGGCAGCTGCAGGCTCCTCCCACAGCAAGCAGAGGCAGGGGTGGGCAGGCGAGCTAGAGAACAGTCGGGGCTCTCTGCAGCACACACAGCCAGTCTCCACCATGCGGAGCAGCTTCCGGGTGAATCTTCTGATGACTGCTGAGATGCGACTTGCGGCGGAAGGCTTTCCCACACCTGCTGCACTCGTATGGCCTCTCCCCAGTGTGTGTTCTCTGATGCACGTGGAGGTATGACTTCATGCGAAAAGCTTTCCCACACTGAGCACACACATGGGGCTTCTCGCCAGTGTGAATCCGCAGGTGTTTGGTGAGATCCAACTTATGAAAGTAGGCTTTCCCACACTGGGCACATGTGTGGGGCTTCTCCCCGGTGTGCATGCTCTGGTGCCTCCGGAGGTGGGTCTTCTGGGAAAAGGCCTTCCCACACTCGCTGCATTTGAAGGGCTTCTCCCCCGTGTGAGTCCTGTGATGCATGGTGAGACCCGACTTCAGGAAAAATGTCTTTCCACACTGGTCACACTCATGGGGCTTTCCTTCTGTGTGAGTCCTCTGATGCAGAGTGAGGCCTGCCTTCTGACAGAAGGTCTTCTTGCACTGTGCACACTCATAGGGCTTCTCTCCCGTGTGGATCCTCTGATGGATGGTAAGGGCCGACTTCCGGCAGAAGGCTTTTCCACACTGGTCACACTCGTGGGGCTTTTCTTCTGTGTGAGTCCTTTGATGTAAGCTGAGGACTGATTTCTGACAGAAGGCTTTCTTGCACACCTCACACTCATAGGGCTTCTCTCCTGTGTGAATCCTGCGATGGATGATGAGAGCCGACTTCCTGCGGAATGCCTTCCCACATTCACAGCATTCGTAGGGCCTCTCCCCAGTGTGGATCCTCTGGTGCGTAATGAGGGCCGACCGATGGCAGAAGGACTTGTCACAGCTGCTGCATGTGTAGGGCCTCTCCCCAGTGTGTGTTCTCTGGTGGTCTCTAAGAACAGATCTAACAAAGAAGGACTTCTCGCATCTGCTGCACTTGTAGGGCTTCTCTCCTGTGTGCTTTTTCTGATGGTCAGCAAGGGCAGATGCTCTGGAGTAAGTCTTGCCACACAGACCACATGTGAAGGGTTTCCTCCCTGCCTGGGGAGACGCACAGCTGTTCCCACACTCACTGTGCGAACAGGTCCCTGCCATGCTGCCCCTCTCTGTGCTGAGGGCACTCCCTTGTCCCCCACCTTCCAGATGCTGCTGCCCAGCCTGGGCATTGTGGCTCTGGCTGAGGAGTTCACTGTGTTTGAGGGCCTTCCCGGGCACCTCATAGGCACCAGACTTCTCTGCTGTGCATCTCACAACAGGCCCTCCAGGGAAAGGCATGAGTTGGTACACATCCAACTCCTGAGGTCTCATTACTGAAGAGTTCCCATTATTTACCATCAGATTTGAAATACATTTTGAGCTCAAATGAAATGCCTTTCCTAATTCAAGTCTCTCCTTAGCTGATGTGCTGCTGTTGACAACAACTTGCCACAAGTGTCTTCCGTGATTTTCTTGGCTGTTCTCAACCACATCATCAACTATCTGCACATCTGAAATGACAAAATAAGAAATAAACAAACACTCCCATGAACCACATGTCAACACCCTTTGTAGAATGCTCATGTAAATGTAAAGAAGTTTCTTCCTATCATAGCAGCATAAGAGTTCATAGGAGTCAATAAGTACTAGCTTTATAAGTGTATGGTTTTTCTTTTTGACAGTGAAATGTTACATTAATTGATTTTCTAGTGCTAAATTGCTTTTCATTGATTCACTTTTTTCTTTTTTATATTGTGAAGAAATATTTGGTAAAAATATGTCCTTAGTGGCTGGTTGCAATTTTAAACTAAGTGCTAACTTTTGGCCATTTATTTTCTCAGTTCCTCCCTCTATTTTATTAACAATGGTGGGTATTTCCTGCTGGCATTCATACCAGTTCTGTTTTGAAGACTGGAAAGACTTTATGGATCAGCTACCTGCAGTTGCAGGAAGGTCATTTGTCTGGAAGGAATATGGCTTAGGGATGGGAACCATATGTGTTTATTTAGTTTTCACAACTCCCTAGGAAGTGGCTAGAGGCTTTTAGGGGATTTCAAATTAAAAGAAAAACTCCTCTTCCCCATGTTGAACCAGGACAGCTTCCTGCAAATTCCTAATTGAACCCAGTTCCCTGTGTTCCTCTGAACCAGGCCTGAGGAACTGCAGCTACAACCTGGACAACCCTCCTGGCCAGAGGTTCTAGCTCTGCACCACCTCTGTGGCCAGCAGCCCTGGAGTACCATTTCCAAGGTCCAGCACATGGCCCTGCTTGGTAATGCTCTGCTCTGTATTGTGTTGGTGTTTAGCTACCTCCCAGTGTCATAGAAAATGGAATCTCCTGTTCATTTCTCATTCTGTTATTTTAGAATGATTTCCACAAATGGAAGGCAGAAATGCTGAATTCAAGATCCATGCCCCCAAAAGTCTGAGCACTGCAACACACACTGGTTCATTTGGCCCTGAGAACCAGAACCTCCTGGTCCCTTCCAAGTCCAGGACCTCCCTTATCATGCTCCTATGCCAGGTCTTCCTCTGCTTCCTGATTTCCAACATTGTGGTACATGAGGCTCACTCTTGGACCTTTCTTCTCATTTTCTTATCAATTGTAAAGATGACTTACTCAATAAAAATGACTTAATTAATAGCTTTAAACCACTGATTTCTAAATCTGTATCTCTAAGTTGTCCCACTCTTGAATTTAGATTTTACATTTCCTATAGACTATATGTCAACATTGGAAAAGCGGCAACCCAAACTGCAGCTATGCCAAAGCAGACTCCTAAACATCCCCTGATATCACCTTCTCTGACCCCCTTCTTGAACCATCACACAACACTTCTCTCTTTCACTGATTAAATACGCCTTGTGGTTCTAATCCAACAACCTATAATATCATTCTCATTTCCCTCTCATCAGACTGTAAACTATAGGGAAAAAAAGGCATCACTTTGAGCACTGTGGTACTATGTACAACTATAATATTATCAAGCTTAAAATCTGCTCAATTAAGATACGCAGAAAGGGGGCTGGGGATGTGGCTCAAGCGGTAGCGCGCTCGCCTGGCATGCACGCGGCCCGGGTTCGATCCTCAGCACCACATAGAAACAAAGATGTTGTGTCTGCCGAAAACTAAAAAATAAATATTAAAATTCTCTCTCTCTCTCTTCCTCTCTCTTTAAAAAAAAAAAAAAAAAAAAAGATACGCAGAAAGGATAAACGAACGTGTGAACTAACATCTGAACAAAGTCCACAGCGTGGAGAAACCAGGGCAATGAGGACACTGGAAAGGTGGGTAGCAAAAGCAGCCACAGGGAAGGTGGGCTTAAGCTAGTGCCAGTGGACGGAGAACTCAACAGAGCAGGGGCACGTGAGCCACCACGGCCTCCCTGAGCCGACAAGGTGTGAGGGTGCAGGGCAAGGCCGACCTCTGCCTTGCTTGTTCCTCCTGGCCTCCCATGCCCAGCACATAGACTGACCTGGAAGACACCGGTCCAGGGCTTCTTTAACCAGCCATGGCTCTGTTCCTTGCTCCAACTTGAAAATAACTTCAGGTCTGGTAATGAAAAGCCCTGTTAATGAGAAATAATGCAGGACTTTGGAGAATGACAGCAGCCCACCTAGAAGCTGGGCAATGAAGGGGCCTGCAGGAACCTTTGGCTAGAGAGGGGTAATGCGTTATTCACGGACTCGAGTTTTCAACCTAAGCGGCATGAAATGTTACAAATGGTGCCTACATTTACCACCAAGGAACAAAGTGTTCCTTCTGTGAGTTACTGGGGCATTTCACTCACCCAAGAACACCAGGCTGCTGTAGGTCTCCAGCATCACGTCCCTGTAGAGGGTCCTCTGAGCATCATCCAGGTCCTGCCACTCCTCCCAGGTGAAGTCCACAGACACATCCTCAAAGGACACCATCCCCTGTAATGAACATGTCTCCTCAGCCCAAGCCCTCTTCCCTGGGCACAAAAACAAGAATCTGGGCATTAACTCGTGTGTGTGTGTGTGTGTGTGTGTGCAAGTATCTCATGTAAAATTAAGAGTTTGCTTTGTACTTTACATCAAGGGAGAAAGGAAAATCAGAAAAATTCTGCCACTATAATTATTAAATTATTATAAAGACTTTCACAAAGTTTACCTTATAGACCTAAAACCATCCTTGTTAGTGGAAATATACATGACTAAAATCCTGCTGCTCCAAGGACCATGTGATCTGGCATGAAGATGTAGTATAAACACCAGGAAGAAGGTGTCTAACGCACTAATCTGGACCCAATTTCTATACAGACTGGGGTGAGACAGGAGAAAGGAGAGCCCTGTTGTGTGCCGTAACATGCACCTCACTGGAAAAGAAGAGGTGCCGTGCTCTTCAGGTCATGAAGTCCCCACTCCAGTCCAGCCACAGCACCACACAACACGTGCTAGGCAAACACACCAGGACTGCGTGCACCTCAGAACTCCCCGGCTTCCACTGGGGGGCAGACCAAAGCACTCTTCTTCCTAACTCGCTGGTCCCCAGGAAGCCACTTAGGCAGAGCCTGACCTGATGTGCTGTGTCAGAGCTTAAGCTTGAGTTACTTGGGTGGAGGGGATACCCAGCTTCAGCCCATACCAGCCATCCCCAGAGGAGGACAGAAACGCCCAAATCCAGTCCACTCTGGCCATCTGGACTCACCACAGGGGAGGAAAACTCAATAACAACAGGGAACACATATGAAACCCCCACCCAGAGGCAGAAGCTCCACAGAAGAAGGACTTACAGAACTGAGGCCCACATCCCCGGGGGAGGGGGAGGGGTCTTCCCAACACCTGCACACTGAAGCCTCACACCAACGCATCAGAACAAAAGCTGGTGCCTTTGGGACATGACTGGTCCTGTGTGGAAAGAACTTAGGAGTGGGACTACCCCCTAAACACGGGAGAAAGAAGGGAAGAGGGCTTCTTTGCACATCTCACCATGTGAGGACACAGAACAGGCCCCACTTAGGAAGGATGGACCTCACCAGACACCTAATCTTAACTTTCCAGCCACTGAAACTATGAGCAATGCATTTCTGCTTCTTACAAGGCACCCAGTACAAGATGTTTTGCTATATCAGGCGAAGAAACTAAGACCGCTTCCAGCACGCCTATGCTTTCCAGTTCATTTACCCAGCACACCATGTGTGCCTAGGAAGAAGGAAAACCACATTGCAGAGCAAAGGTGAAACTACAACATGAGGTGAAAGAACAGGCATCAGACAGATATGGCCAATACGTTGGAGTTCTCAAATAAGCAATGTCAAACTGGGTAATATGCTAAAACAGCACTCAAAAAAATAAAAACATAGCCAGACACAGTGGTGCATGCCTGTGATCCCTGTGGCCCAGGAGGCTGAGGCAGGAGGGTCACAAGGTCAAAGCCAGCCTCAGCAACTCAGACCCTGAGCAACTCAGTGAGACCCTGTCTCTAAATAAAACAACAGGGCTGGGGTTGTGGCTCAGAGGTAGAGCACTTGTCTAGCATGTGTGTGGCCCTGGATTCAATCCTCAGCACCACATAAAAATAAATAAGTAAAATAAACGTATTGTGTTTAACTACAACTAAAAAATAAATATTAAAATAAAACAACAAAAAAATGGGCTGGGGATGTGGCTCAGCGGTTCAAGCCCTAGCAACAAAATTGAAAAAAATGAAAAAAAAATTATGAATAAAGCCAGCAAGAAGAAATCTGCCTATAGAAGAACAAAGATGAAAAGGACACCCAACCTCTCCACAAGTCACACAAATGAGAGGGGCCTGGAGAAAAGTCTCACTGGCTAAGACTGTACAACACTCCTCAAAGATGGACACCTGAGAGAATTTTCTGCCTTGTGGGGACAAGGGCATGGAGTACTGCACACATGGCATATGTTAAGGGCGCCTGAGTGGCAAACCACTCCCCCATGCTAGGCGTGTGAGTGGCAAACTACGTACCCTGTAAGCACAGCCCTAGGCATGAGGTCATGTGTTGCAGTCGCTGCACTTTCTCCATAGCCCACTCCTCGATTGGTGGCTGCAAGGACAGTTAGCAGACATTGCATTGGTGACTGCCTGTAATCTGCTCAGCTACTGCCTGAGTATATATACATGGTAACTGCACACTGAAATTAGACATGCTTCCTGCTTGGTCTTGCAGGACTTGATTAGCGACTCCAGTCACACTCTCCTCTACCCTGTTCTGTGGGACCTCCTTGCTGGATGAGAGAGCCCACACAGCAGGTGCCTGAGCAGGGACCTGAGGTAAGCCTATAAGACAGGGTGTGGCCCCTCACAGAGCAGTGAAGAAGGGAAAACGGGGAACCTACTGAGTTCCACCACAGACTCGCAGCTGCAAGTGCTGCACACTCTCTTAGATACTAGAGGTTTAATCCTGAAGAAGAGAGAAGCCCAGAAGTTCTGAGATGTAATAATAATAATAAACACTAACCCACAGATCAATACTGCTGATGATTTTGATCCTAGGATATGGGACAAGATAATGTCAAATGAGCAGCAAGCTGAAGTGAGACAGGGGTATAATATATCACTACATTTTTTCCTATTGTGACAGCCATTCAGCAAAGTTTAGGGGAACCTGCAACAGACCCTGGTCATATAATGATGGCCCTGAGGGAAGATGAGGCTGTGAGAGACAGATGGGGGGAAAAGGTGGGGGAGAATTCTACCTCAAAAGCAACTGCAGCAGGTGTAGGAGGGAGAAAGGCAGGAAATGGTACCTCTAGCCTTCATGTGCAGGAAGAGGTGACCACAAGTGGTGCAGGTGCGCCTTCTACTGACAGGCAAAGGTGATATCCTTCCCTGAGTCAATGGCAACTGCCTCCTTATGAGGCAATGCCAAAGCCAGCAAAGGACTATGACAGTTTGGAAATGACCAGGCCACCAGACAGGCCCCAGACATGGTGTCCCAGAAACCTATTCTAGGAGCCAGAGATCCTTTTGAACATCTATGTAGGATAAGAGATGAGAAGGGGGGTGAAGGAGTACAAGCCTTCCCAGTCAACAAGGTCCCCACACCAGAGCACCTTGCAGAGCAAACGCTTGAATCACTCAGTCTTGAACTAAATTGCCCTCAGGACTGGAGAGACCTAGCCAGAGCAGCTCTTGAGCCTGCAACATTTTTGAAGTGGAAGGCATTCTCCTGTGATGAATATGAACACCAAGGGGATCCTAACCACACCACAAATGTTAGCCTTCCAGCTGACTGCTTGCAGGGAGAGGGAACTATAGTTCCCCTGCGGTACAGGCTACAGGCCAACCAAATTATTTCGATCAGGTGTGGCTCTGTGCTCTGAGAGCCTGGAGGAAGTTGCCAGCTGGGGGAGGGACAGTTTCCATATAGGGCTTAAGGCAGAAGGCCACAGAGGACTTGCCACAGTTTACTGACAGGGTAAACAAGGCAGAAGAAGGGAAGGTGTCTCATGAAGGAGCCAGGGTGGCCTTAGCCAAGAAGTTGATCTGGGATGGACTAAATAAGGAACACAGAGCAGCAGTGGCTCCAGTTTGAAATGGCACACTGGATGAGTGGATTTTGGCCCCCCAGGATATAGGGACACAAGCAGTTCAAGCCTCTCTGCAGCCCTCAGTGATGGTAGCTGCATAAAAGCAGGACTAAGGAGGCTTGCAGACAGCTAGTCAGAGACTGCAAAAAATGTACACCTTTTCTCCCCATTGGCCCTGCACAACCTGCTGGAGTAAATCCCCGAGTTAAAATCTAATGCTCTATGGCAAATGGATGTCACTCATTATTATGTACCTTTTGGAAATTTAACATATATTCATATAATCACTGATACCAACTCAGGCTGTGTAATGGCCACAGCCCCCACAGGAGAAACCACAAAAAAAGGCCATCTCCCATCTACTTAAATGTTTTGGAATTACAAATGTTCCCATGTCTATTAAAACTGACAATGGGCCAATCTATACTAGCAAGACATTTCAAGTGGTTTGTAATGACTGGCATATATAGCACTTAACTGGGATCCCCTACAACCCTTAGACTCAAGGCATAATAGAAAAAGCACACAAGGAATTAAAGACCATGCTACAAAACAGGAGGGAAACTATACCAAGTCCCCTCTTGATGCCTTGAACAAAAACTTATTTGCTTTAATTTTTCTTTCAATGTCAAAATCTTCTATGGAAACAGCAGCCTATAAGCATTGGGCCCCCCTCTTGGGGCCCTCCCATCTACCTATGATCTCATGGAAGGATCCCATAACAAATGCATGGGATGGTCCGAGGCCTTTCCTAACCACGGGTCGGGGGTTTGCACAGGTTAAGAGGAGCCTCACCCCATCTGGGTGCCTGCCAGAAAGTCAAGCCCTGGACCCCCAGAACCACCAACCAATAAGATAAAGGAACCAACTCTGGAGGAGAAACCTCACAAGCAAAGGACTCAACAACACAAATAGACCTCATGTAGAGAATCCTGGGGTGATAAAGGTCTTTTTGAATAAGCCACCAGATTGGCCCCTTTGCCTGGTGGCAATCCCATCCCTGGGCCTATGACGATGGTCCTAGTGTGTGCAATGCTCACTGCTAATAGTGAAGCCTCCCATGAGGTAAATTGAGCTTTGGTCACTAGGCCATCACTTTTAGTAGTTGCTAATTGGGAAGGGACTTTACCTAAGCGCTTTTCCAATAATTCCAACCTTACTGATCCTGAATTATCCAACAGGTAACTGTACCTGAAATACCAGCATTTCCATACCTACCCTGCCCATTTGTTTCTCCATAGTTGATAATAATGAGACCTACAATCAGGACAGTCCCCTCTGTTTTGCTCTTTCCAGAGAAACTATTATAGATAACTGTAATAAGTCTTGTGTTGGGCTTTCTCTCACTGGCCTTAGAAATATAGTTAATGCTACCTGTAGCCATAGACTCCCTCATGACA